AAAGTTAGGTAAACACCATAATTAAATATTTGCCATCATGCAAGAGGGACCGAATAAGTGCCCGAATGTTTAAACCCAAATGCATGAGAAATGGAAAGTAAGCATCATAATTGCATATCTGCCATGATGCAAGAGGGTCCGAATATGTGTCCGAGTATTTAAACCCTAATGCCTGAGAAATGGCAAGTAAATACCATAATTACATATCTGCCATCATGGAAAAGGGTCCGATTAAGTGTCTGAGTGTTCGAACCCTAACGCATGAGAAATGGCAAGTAAACACCATAATTAAATATCTGCCATCATGCAAGAAGGTCCAAATAAGTGTCTGAGTGTTTAAACCCTAATGCATGAGAAATGGCAAGTAAACACGATAATTACATATCTGCCATATGCAAGAGGATCTGAATAAGTGTTCGAGTGTTTTAACCGAAATGCATGAGAAATGACTAATAAACACCGTAGTTACATATCTGCCATCATGGAAAAGGGTCCAAATAAGTGTTTGAATTTCGAACCGTAATGAATGAGATATGGTAAGTAAACACCATAATTACATATCTGCCATCATGCAAGATGGTCCGAATAAGTGTCCGAGTCTGTAAACTCTAATGCGTGGGAAATGACAAGTAAACACCATAGTTACGTATCTGCCATCGTGCAAGAGGGTCTGAATAAGTGTCCGAGTGTTTATGCCCCAATGCATGACAAATGGCAATAAACACCATAATTACATATCTGCCATCATGCAAGAGGGTCCAAATAAGTGTCCGAGTATTCGAATCCTAATGCACGAGAAATGGCAAGTAAAGACCATAATTACATATCTGCAATCATACAAGAGGGTCTGAATGAGTGTCTAAATTTTCGAATCCTCATGCACGAGAAATGGATAGTAAACACCATAATTATGTATCTGTCATCATGCAAGAGGGTCCCAATAAAAGTTTGAGTGTTCAACCCATAATTGTCACGCCCCCAACCCGCGCCTAAAAGTTTGGGCATGACCTATACGAAAACGGACACGTACACAAGCATACATAGTATACGGGGCCTTAACGGAAGCATTAGAACTAAAATAATGTACCAAACCCCATTGAGCTACCTCTAATATGCCAAGACCACATGGATCAAGAACATTAGAACGAACAATTACAAGCCAAAATTATACATAAGCGTCAGTTACATACATACGTATACAGTCCCAACCCTAAGGAAAGGCAATTACAAAAACATTTAAGTCATGTTCAATCAACCTTATTGAGTAGTTAAAATACCAGTTAACATCTTAGCGAAGCTTCACAAAAATGAGTAATCTCGTCTAATGCCCGGACTTAGAGAGGTTGACAAAAAGAATGGACGTCCTGAGTTAGGGCTGACCTCCTGGTTGGTTACCTACAGAAACAGACATATCAAAAGGTGAGCCAAGCTCAGTGAATAGTAACACATAACTAAAGTAATGCCTAACTTGAATCATAGTAAAAGAATACATATAGATTCGTAGCTTGTCGACACTTATTGATCCACAAATCATGTCTAAAATACTTTGGAAAGAGATGAGAATAAAAATGTGAACTAATTGCAATTTTTCAAAATATGCTAAAAATAGGGTCTTCGCTCGAGCGGACCTTTGGTCGCTCGAGCGGACTGCAAAGCTTTATAAAAATACTGGTTGGCCTTAATGTTCGCTCGAGCGGTGACTTTACTACTCGAGTGGCCAGCAAATTTTCTGTGCTTTCAAAATCAATAAAATAATTTCCAAACACATTTTCAAAACTTAAACTATTGCATGAACCAATTTAAACATGTAATTTTATTAATAAGGATGAACCCATGACTAATTTTTCAATTTCTAATACAAAAATCTCTTTGATCATTTAGATTAAAACTAATAATTTCATGATTCCAACCTGATATTCAAAGCTTCAAACATGTACTTTCGTATACTAATACAACATTCATATAGCGAGTCTGAATCTGTACTTATTCATAACGGTCTTAGAACTTATCTTGGGACATATTGCCTTGAACATAATGTTTTGGCTTAAAGCCCTTGTCTAGTGTGGCACAAACTCTTAATCATGGTGGCACGAAGCCCATAAACATAGTGGCACAAGGCCCTTGAATAAATTGGCATGGAGCCCTTGAATCATTTGGCATTAAGCCCTTGTAAATTGGCATTGAGCCCTTGAATCATTTGACATTAAGCTCTTGTATATTCTTGTATGAACTCAAGAGGTGTCTCACACGGGTTCTAGCGGTGACTCACATTGTAGCACTTAGTCCCGTGTAACACTTTGTTTCATATCATAGTTACTTATACCGTATGGCCAAAGGCCCATAATTTTAAAGAATGGAATCACTTCATCTTCCCCATTTCTTTATATTCGCACATCAAAACATGAACATAATTACATATCGTATGTGAACAAGATACTAATGACAATCATTAGCTATACATATGAAACATATAATGGTACTACTACTCACAGTGGCGTTGAGATGACGTGTTACTTCCTCTCGAAGTGTGTCCTGTACACAATCAAAACTTGCACATTAGTTCTTCTTTTTCCCTGGTAAATTAGGTCCTAATTCGTTACGCTTCCAGTGAATTTACAACTATCTTAAGATCATCAAAACATAATCGAAAAATAGTAGAGGGTTGAGCACACAAAACAGAACAAAAATTTTTTCTTTTTCTCCGCTCGAGCGGCCGTGACTCCGCTCGAGCGGCTGTGCCCTTGTTTTGGCAGTTCGAAGTTTAACCAAAAAAAATAGCAATACCAACACATTTTACATGCAAAACATGGTGGAATTTATGCAATACATTGACCTAACCTTACTATAACATGAATTATCATCTAAACCACACAAAATAAACATGTTAGAAGCTTCATCACTTTTGCAATGTCCTTATGTTCATAAAACATAACATCTTGTATATATATACCTTCATGGGGTTAGCATAAAACTAAAGATTGAAGTGTAACTTTCACATAACACCTAAATTAGGTGACAAAACAACCAATTGATAAGAAACCTCCTTTAATCAACCATAATTCATACATAATACAAACCCTAAGTTGTCAAAACAAGAAATCATCCTTCCTTGAGTCCAAGTGAAGGTTAAATGGGTTGGAGCTTACCTTGATTTAAATCCCACAACTTTCCTCAATTTGCCAATCTCTCTTGTTGAATTTTGTTTCCCCCAATTCTTCTTCTCCACACTCTCTATTTTCTCTCCCAGGAGATGTTGAATGGAGAAGTTCTTAAGTCTTAACTCAATAATACACTTAGAGACATATATAGTCATATATAAAGAAAACATATATAAGGGCATATAAAACAAAATCCAATCGTTTAATCATTCCGAAATTGAAATTTCGTGGTTATGCTTAATATTACATAAAAATTATGCTGATCACATATATAAAATCAATTTCAGATAATTAAGCCCCTAAGGCTTCCAATTTCTAATTCAAATATTCTAAGTGTAACAGATACGGTTCTTGGAGAACAGATAGACATCCTTAACTATGGATTTCACTTACATACCCTTAATTTCTCTTGGAATTTTACAATAAATATTTAAAAGCATAAAACAAGAACTGAAATTCTATCAAAAAAACATGTACGAGGGTCAGGTTATTACACTCTCCCCCCCTTAAATAAGTTTGGTCCTCCAAACTTGTTTTACCTTAGGACTGAAACAGGTGTGGGTATTGGCGTTGCATTTCCTCTTCTTTTTCCCAAGTTGCGTCGGTTCCGTAATGTTCTTGCCACTCACCTTTTACCGTTGGAATTTCTCGGTTTCGTAATTGTTTCACTTGTCGGTCCAAAATGCTGATTGGTTTTTCCTCGTAAGTTAGCTTGTCATCCAACTCAATTTGGTGGTAGTCAATAACATGAGATGGATCCGGGAGGTATCCGCGACGCACAGAGACATGAAACACGTTATGTACTTGACTCATATTCGGCGGAAGGGCAACTCGGTAAGCTACCAGACCCACTTGCTCCAAAATTTGGAATGGACCTACATACTGGGGTGTTAACTTACCCCTCCTCCCGAACCTTGGATGTCCTTTCATCGGAGTGACCTTCACAAAAACATGACTATCTACTTCAAATTTCAAATCCCTTCGTCGATTATCCGCATAACTTTTCTGTCTACTTTGCGCAATTTTCAATCTTTCCCGAATAGTTTTAACCTTTTCAGTGGTTAACTGAACAATTTCAGGGCCTACCAAGGATTTATCTCCAACTTCAGACCAACATACTGGAGACCGACACGGTCTTCCATACAGAGCCTCATAGGGTGCCATCTCGATACTTGAGTGGTAACTATTGTTGTACGTGAACTATATCCACGATAGATGGGTTTCCCAACTTTCTTGAAAATCCAACACACGCATACGGAGCATATCCTCCAAAGTCTGTATCGTTCTCTCGGATTGACCGTCGGTCTGAGGGTGGAATGCTATGCTGAACTTTAATTCCGTACCCAATGCTTCTTGTAAACTTTGCCAGAATCTGGAAACAAACTTCGGGTCCCTATCTGACACAATTGAAACTGGAACACCATGAAGCCTCACAATTTCATTCACATAAATTACTGCCAGTTTATCTGCATTATACTAAGTCTTTACTGGTGGGAAGTGAGCGGATTTAGTTAATCGGTCCACTATGACCCATATTGAATTCATACCTCGAGGAGTCCATGGTAACCCCACAACAAAATCCATGGTCAGATGTTCCCATTTCCATTCCAAGATAGGAAGGGGTTGTAACAAACCGGCAGGTTTTTGATGCTCCGCCTTTACTTGCTGGCATTGCAAACACTTAGAGACAAACTCTGCGATCTCCTTCTTCATACTTGGCCACCAAAAATTTTGTTTCAAACCTCGGTACATTTTGGTACTCCCTGGATGCATTGAAAACTTTGAGGTATGTGCGTCTCCCATCAGCTTTTGCTTAAGGTTCAGCACATTGGGGACACATATTCAGTTTTGAAATTTGAGCACCGCATCTACTACACTGATTCCCGACTTCAGTTTAGTTCCTAATTCATCACATATCTTCTTTAGAGTTTCGTCTTCCATCTGATGCAATTTAATTTCCTCAAGTAAGGTTGGTTGGGCCATCACCGCTGCCAATAAAGCTTCCTGTCCCTGTAACACAAGGTCCACTTCCACTTTAGCCAATTCATTTGCTAATTCCTTTTGCCCTGTAGACAAACTTTTCGAAGTCCCTATGCTTTTCCGACTGAGCACATCTGCAACTGTGTTGGCTTTACCCGGATGATAACGAATCTGCAAATCATAATCTTTAATAAGTTCCAACCACCGTCGCTACCGCATATTCAACTCTTTTTGAGTAAAAAGGTACTTGAGACTCTTGTGGTCGGTGTATACTTCACAAGTAGTGCCATATAGATAATGTCTCCATATCTTCAAAGCAAAGGCGACTGCTGCTAACTCAAGATCATGAGTGGGATAATTCTTCTCATGGGGTTTCAGTTGATGAGAAGCGTAGGCGATAGCTCTTCCATTCTGCATAAGTACACAACCAAGTCCTTTATAAGAAGCATCACTGTAAATTACAAACCCTTCAGTACCGGAGGGTAAGGCCAACACCGGTGCTGTAGTCAACTTTGTCTTCAATTCTTGGAAAGCAGACTCCCGTTCTTCTGTCCATTCAAATGCAACTCCTTTTCGAGTCAGTTGTGTAAGCGGCACAACAATTTTCAAAAAATCTTGAACAAACCGTCTGTAATAGCCGTCTAACCCCATAAAACTACACACTTTAGTCACATTAGTGGGAGTTGCCTCAATCTTGTGTGGATCAACAGAAACTCCTTCCTTAGTGATAACATGCCCCAGAAATGCCACCTCTAGTAGCCAAAATTCACATTTCTTCAGCTTTGCATACAGTTTCTTTTCTTGGAGGGTTTGAAGAATCAACCGAAGATGATTCTCATGAGCTTCTACAGTCTTCAAATAAATGAGAATATCATCAATAAAGACCACGACACATTCATCCAAATAAGGCTTAAAGACGTGGTTCATTAAATTCATAAAGGCTGTTGGGGCGTTAGTAACTCCAAAGGGCATAACCAGAAATTCATAATGACCATAACGAGTTCGAAAGGATGTCTTCTCAACATCATCAGCCTTAATCCTTAATTGATGGTACCCAGACCGTAGATCGATTTTAGAAAAGACTTGTGCCCCCTGAAGCGGGTCAAATAAATCATCAATCCTTGGCAATGGGTACTTATTCTTGATTGTTACCTTATTAAGTTCCCTGTAATCAATACAAAGCCGGAGTGTTCCATCCTTCTTTTTCACAAACAGAACTGGTGCACCCCACGGAGACACACTCGGACGAATGAATCCCTTGTCTAGTAAATCTTACAATTGAAGTTTTAATTCCTTCATCTCAACTGGTGACATTCTATATGGGGTCTTAGAAATGGGTTGAGTTCCCGATGCCACTTCGATTGTAAACTCAATTTCTCGGTCTATCAATTGCCCTAGTAACTCTTCTGGGAAGACGTCCGAAAATTCACGAACAACTAGAATTATGTCAGTACCCCCATTCACCATTTGCTCTTTTACAACACTACACAGATACCCCTGACACCCTTTTTGAATTAATCTACAAGCCTTTGCTGTAGAAATCAAATACGGTGGGGAAGTCACCTCTTGTCCCTGAAATATAGATTATACTTGACCCGGAGGGTGAAAACTCACTTGCTTAGTCAAACAGTTTATAGTTGCACTATGTTCACTCAACTAGTCCATTCCCAGTACAATATCAAAATACATCATATCGAGAGGTATTAAGTTAGCGTATACCCGAATATCCCCAAGGTGGAGTTCACAAGCAGCATATATAGAAGTACAAATCATAGAATCTCCCAACGGTGAAGACACACACAGCATATAAGATAATGCTTCCTCAGATGTATCTAAATTAGGAGTAAATAGCTTTGACACAAAAGAATGAGTAGAACCTGAATCAAACAATACACAAGCAGAATGACCGTGAACCATAAATGTACCTGACACCACTGTCGCCATCTTTTGCACATCTCCCGGAACCAATGCAAACACCCTACCATGTCTCGCGGTGTCCTTGTTGTTAGTAGCTTTGACCGGTGCCTTGGTATTGATAGTTGGTGCAGACCCCGTTAAGCTGGTACCAGTCTTATTGCTATTTTGCTGCTGCTTCCTCTGAGGGCAATCCCTTATCGCATGGCTCGTCTTTCCACACTGGAAGCAGGCTCCAGACTTCCGATAACATATCCCACGGTGCCTTTTTCCACACTCCACACATACAGGAATTGAATCTTGATTAGGGGTAGAAACATTTGAAGTCCTTGAATTTTGTTTCTTATTTGGTGGAGTAGTTGCCTCCTTCGACCATTGACTGTTTTGCCTTTTCCCCTTCCATTCAGAAATTCAGTTTTGTGCAGCGATATTCCCTTCTGCTATAACGGCCCTCTCCACCACTTCTACATAGGTAGGCGGCTTCAACATATTAACTCGGTCTAGAATAGCACCCCGTAATCCCCCTTCAAATTTCCGTGCCTTCTTATAGTCCGTGTCCACCATGTGAGGTGCGAACCGGGCCAACTTGGCAAATTGAGCTTCATAGTCAGCAACAGTCTTGTTCCCTTGCCTGAGGGTTTCAAATTCAGTCACCTTTTTAACTCGCATACTTTGTGGAAAATACTTATCATAGAATATCTCCAAGAACCTGTCCCATGTCAATCCTTGATGTATAGTTCTCATAAGCATCCACCATCTCCGCGCCTCATCCTCGAAAGTGAATGCAGCCGATTGCACCTTCTGAGCTTCGGTACAAGGAAAGACTTCAAATAACTTCTCTATTCCCAACACCCATGCTTCAGCATTCATTGGTTCTATTCCTCCTTTGAAGGACGGCGGTTTCATCTTTTTAAACTCTTTGATAAGGGTAATAGTTCGGTCTTCAGCATGGAGGTCTTGTACTGCTGGTGGAGGTACCAGTGGTGGTGGCGGTTATTCTTCTGGCTGTTGCTGCTGTTGTTGCCGTAAGGTCTCCGCCATTTCCATAATCATTCTATCCAACCGTGCAGTAGTAGCATTTTCCACATCTTCTGTCCTTGTTCTCACCGTTGCCTACACAACAAGCATTTATATACAATAAACATATTCAAAATTGTTAGCCTTATCAGAGTACTCTTAACGTTGCCATCGATCTTTCAGATACGTGCAGGATGTCATGCAAAATGCCTAAAACTTTTCTAGACACCCTAGAGCTCAATGGATCCGTGTGTGAGATAGCAACTCGTGCTCTGATACCACTTGTCACGCCCCCAACCTGCCCGTAAAAGTTTAGGCATGACCTATACGGAAACAGACACATACACAAGCATACATAGTATGCAGGGCCTTAACGGAAGCATTAGAACTAAAATAATATACCAAACTCCATTGAGCTACCTCTAATATGCCAGGATCACATGCATCAAGAACATTAGAACGAACAGTTACAAGCCAAAATTATACATAAGTGTCAGTTACATACATACGCATACAGTCCCAACCCTAAGGAAGGGCAATTACAAAAACATTTAAGTCATGTTCAATCAACCTTATTGAGTAGTTAAAATACAAGTTAACATCTTAGCGAAGCTTCACAAAAATGAGCAATCTCGTCTAATGCCCGGGCTCAGAGAGGTTGATAAAAAGAATAGACGTCCTGGGTTAGGGCTGGCCTCCTGGTTGGTTACCTACAGAAACAGACATATCAAAAGGTGAGCCAAGCTCAATGAATAGTAACACATAACTAAAGTAATGCCTAACTTGAATCATAGTAAAAGAGTACATATAGATTTGTAGCTTGTCGACACTTATTGATCCACAAATCATGTCTAAAATACTTTGGAAAGAGATATGGGCATAAATATGAACTAAATGCAACTTCCCAAATGATTCTGAAAATGGATCCCCGCTCGAGCGCCCATTTTGCCGCTCGAGCGGACTGTACAATTTAACAAAAATGCTGGGAGGTCGATTTTTACGCTCGAGCGGGAATTCCCCCTCCCCCCTGCTCGAGCAAACAGCGAGCGGACCGTGTAATTTTTGAAATTTTAAAATTCTAATTAAAGTTCCAACCAGATATTCAAAGCCTCAAACATGTACTTTCGTATACTAATACAGCATTCATATAGCGAGTCTAAATCTGTACTTATTCATAACGGTCTTAGAACTTATCTTGGGACATATTGCCTTGAACATAATGTTTTGCCTTAAAGCCCTTGTCTAGTGTGGCACAAACTCTTAATCATGGTGGCACGAAGCCCATAAACATAGTGGCGCAAGGCCCTTGAATAAATTGGCATGGAGCCCTTGAATCATTTGGCATTAAGCCCTTGTAAATTGGCATTGAGCCCTTATAAAGTGGCATTGAGCCCTTATAAAGTGGCATTGAGCCCTTGAATCATTTGACATTAAGCTCTTGTATATTCTTGTATGAACTCAAGAGGTGTCTCACACGGGTTCTAGCGGTGACTCACATTGTAGCACTTAGTCCCGTGTAGCACTTTGTTTCATTTCGTAGTTACTTATACCGTATGGCCAAAGGCCCATAATTTTAAAGAATGGAATCACTTCATCTTCCCCATTTCTTTATATTCCCACATCAAAACATGAACATAATTACATATCGTATGTGAACAAGATACTAATGACAATAATTAGCTATACATATGAAACATATAATGGTACTACTACTCAAAGTGGTGTTGAGATGACGTGCTACTTCCTCCCGGAGTGTGTCCTGTATGCAATCAAAACTTGCACATTAGTTCTTCTTTTTCCTTGGTAAATTAGGTGCCGATTCGTTACGCTTCCAGTGAATTTATCACTATCTTAAGATCATCAAAACATAATCTAAAAATAGTAGAGGGTTGAGCGCACAAAATAGAACAAATAATTTTTCTTTTTCTCCGCTCGAGCGGTTGTGCCCCTGTTTTGGCAGTTCGAAGTTTAACCAAAAAAAACAGCAATACCAACACATTTTACATGCAAAACAAGGAGGAATTTATGCAATACATTGACCTAACCTTACTATAACATGAATTATCATCTAAACCACACAAAATAAACATGTTAGAAGCTTCATCACTTTTGCAATGTCCTTATGTTCATAAAACATAACATCTTGTATATATATACCTTCATGGGGTTAGCATAAAACTAAAGATTGAAGTGTAACTTTCACACAACACCTAAATTAGGTGACAAAACAACCAATTGATAAGAAACCTCCTTTAATCAACCATAATTCATACATAATACAAACCCTAAGTTGTCAAAACAAGAAATCATCCTTCCTTGAGTCCAAGTGAAGGTTAAATGGGTTGGATGGAGCTTACCTTGATTTAAATCCCACAACTTTCCTCAATTTGGCAATCTCTCTTGTTGAATTTCGTTTCCCCCAATTCTTTTTCTCCACACTCTCTATTTTCTCTCCCAGGAGATGTTGAATGGAGAAGTTCTTAAGTCTTAACTCAATAATACACTTAGAGACATATATAGTCATATATAAATAAAACATATATAAGGGCATATAAGACAAAATCCAATCGTTTAATCATTCCGAAATTAAAATTTCGTGGTCATGCTTAATATTACATAAAATTATGCTGATCACATATATAAAATCAATTTTAGATAATTAAGTCCCTGAGGCTTCAATTTCTGGTTCAAATATTTTAAGTGTAACAGATACGATTCTTGGAGAACAGATAGACATCCTTAACTATGGATTTCACTTACGTACCCATAATTTCTCTTGGAATTTTACAATAAACATTTAAAAGCATAAAACAAGAACTGAAATTATATCAGAAAACATGTACGAGGGTCAGGTTATTACAATAATGCATGAGAAATGGCAAGTGAACACAATAATTACATATCTACCATCATCCAAGAGGGTCTGAATAAGTGCCCGAGTGTTTAAACCGTAATGCATGAGAAATGAGTAATAAACACCCTACTTACATATCTACCATCGTGGAAGAGGGTCCGAATTGCGAACCCTAATGCAAGAGATATGGTAACTAAACACCGTATTTACATATCTGGCATGATGCAAGATGGTCCGAATAAGTTTCCGAGTCTGTAAACCCTAATGCATGAGAAATGGAAAGTAACACCACAATTATATATCTGCTATCATGCAAGAGGTTCCCAATCAGTGTCTGATTGTTCGAACCCTAATGCATGAGAAATGGCAAGTAAACACCATATTTCCATATCTGTCATCATGTAAGAGGGTTCGAAAAAGTGTCCGAGTGTTTAAACCATAATGCACGAGAAATGGCAAGTAAACACCATAATTGCATACCTGCCATCATCCAAGAGGGTCCGAATAAGTGCACGAGTGTTCGAACCCTAATGTACGAGAAATGGCAAGTAAATACCATAATTACATATTTGCCATCATTGAAGAGTAGAGCGTCCGAATAAGTGTCCAAGTGTTTAAGCCCTAATGCAGGAGAAATGGCTAATAAAGACCATAATTACATATTCGCCATCATGCAAGAGGGTCCAAATACGTGGCCGACTGTTCGAATCCTAATGCATGAGAAATGGCAAGTAAACACCATAATTACATATCTGCCATCATGCAAGAAGGTCCGAATAAGTGTCCAAGTGTTCGATTCCTAATGCACGAGAAATGACAAGTAAACACCATAATTACATATCTGTCATTATGCAAGAGGGTCCGAATAAGTGTCTGACTGTTCGAACCCTAATGCAAGAGAAATTGCAAGCAAACACCATAATTACATATCTGCCATCATGCAAGAGGGTCCGAATAAGTGTCCGAGTGTTCGAATCCTAATGCACATGAAATGGATAGTAAACACCATAATTACGTATCTGCCATCATGCAAGAAGGTCCGAATAAAAGTCTAAGTGTTTGAACCCTAATGCATGAGAAAAGGAAAGTGAACACCATAATTACATATTTGCCATCATGCAAGAGGGTTCGAATAAGTGTCCGAGTGTTTAAACCGTAATGCATGAGAAATGACTAATAAACACCCTAATTACATATTTGCCATCATGGAAGAGGGTCCGTATAAGTGTCCGAATTTCCAACAATAATGCAAGAGATATGGTAAGTAAACACCATAATTACATATCGGCCATCATGCAAGATGATCCGAATAAGTGTCCCTGTCTGTACACCCTAATGCATGAGAAATGACATGTAAACACCATAATTACATATCTGCCATCATGCAAGAGGGTCCGAATAAATGTTCGAGTGTTCGAATCCTGATGCAGGAGAAATGGGAAGTAAACACCATAATTGCATAACTGCCATCGTGCAAGTGGGTCTGAATAAGTGTGCGAGTGTTCGAATTCAAATGCACGAGAAATGGCAAGTAAACACCCGAATAAGTGTCCGAGTGTTCGAATCCAAATCACGAGAAATGGCAAGTGAACACCATAATTACATATCCGCCGTCATGCAAGAGGGTCTGAATAAGTGTCCGAGTGTTTAAACCCTAACGCATGAGAAATGACACGTAAACATCATAATTACATATCTGCCATCATACAAGAGGGTCTGAATAAGTTTATGAATTTCGAACCCTAATGCATGAGAGATGGTAACTAAGCACCATAATTACATATTTGCCAACGTGCAAGAGGGTGCGAATAAGTGTCCAAGTGTTTAAACTCTATTGCATGAGAAATAGCTAGTAAACATGATAGTTACATATCTACCATCATGCAAGATGATCCGAATAAGTGTCTGAGTGTTTAAACCGTAATGCATGAGAAATGACTAATAAACAGCATAATTACATATTTGCCATCATGGAAGAGGGTCCGAGTAAGTGGCCGAATTTCGAACCCTAATGCATGAGAGATGGTAAGTAAAC